AGGATTTAGGGCTTTCGGCTTGTAGCAAAAAAGGTTGAGGGTATAGGCTTGCCTAGACCCCCCCAACTACCCTCTATTGTACCCCGAATACCCACTATTAGGGACCATAAGGGCTCTATTAAAGGGCACTTGGGGGGTGCTGGTAATGCCTTCGAGCACGAGCTCTTGAACTCGATGCTGCGGTCTGCGAACATCCGGCTGAGAAGTTGCAAGTCGAGACGAGGCAGCCGGCCCTAAACCTTATGGCGACCTGACTAATATGGGGGCCTAAATTAATTACCTATACTATTCTGGGGGGTCCCGTATTATAAGTATAGTAGAATGGGCCACAAAACCCTACTCTAATTATTAAGGCCCCTACATTGAAAAACTCTTCGTTGCAGTATCTGCGGCGCATCGTCAGCCACAGGAGGCAGGAGGATTCGTCAGATCCTTATTGCCCATCTTATGATCATGAAGAATCACGAAGCATATTCTCGTGATAGCTATTATTAAACGAATAATCTGCATACTTATTTACCTATTTCAATATAAGAATCATTTAATTCGTATCATTTTTGGAGAATGGTTCGCCAGATGTCATCCCGAAGGGGCGGATGGGAGTGCTTTGGCAGTAATGTGTTCGATAAACCTTGTGCTTGGGCAGGGACCTGCGACACCATTGATTTTATAGGGTTTAGTTTGGGGTTTAGGGTTTAAAGTTTGGGGTTTAGGGCTTAGGGTTTAAAGTTTGGAGTTTAGGGATGAGAACAGTATTTTCGGCCTGAGGGTCATTTCGAGACCGCCAATCCTTAAACTCTAGTCCATTAACCCAAGCTAAACCCTATAAACCCTGAACCCTAAGCCCTAAACCCTAAACCCTAAATCCTAAGCCCTCAACCCTGAACCCTAAACCCCTAAACCCTAAACCCTAAACCCTGAAGATATGCTTTTGGGAGGCCAGGCACCTCGCAGGAGGAGACGGAGGAGGACGAGGCCTCGCCAGGGCGGCTGCTTCAGAGTTTAGGTTAGGGTTTAGGGTTTAGGGTGCAGGGTTGGGGTTTAAGGTTTTGGGTTTAGGGCTTAGGGATTCAGAGTTTAGGATTCAGAGTTTAAGGCCACTAAACCGTAAACTCTGAGCCCTACACCCCGCGACAGTCAAGCCTAAACCCCCAAACCCTAAACCATAAAACCCTAAAGCCCTGGACCCTAAACCCTAGTTGTAGGCTCAACGTCTTCCCAAAGCCCTCCTAAGCTCGTTTCAATGGCGCCTGAGCGATCCTCCTGGGCTGCCGCCTTTTGCTTAAAAGACAGGTTTCCGAAGTCACCCAGTGTTCACCTAAATATTATATGTATATATATATATATATATATGTATGGCTTTTATGGTTTAGGATTCAGGGTTTAG